GGCGGGGCGGGGCCGGAGGCCGTGGAGCGCGGCGCTGGGGCGGCGCTGCCGGGGGCCGGGAAGGCTGGGTCGGAAATAGTGTGTTGTGTTATTGTAAACCTTATGTCTAATGGTGACTGACAGGTAATAAAGTGTAACACGGCACAGTGAAGCTTTGCGGGGCGGGCGGGGGGCTGGTTCCTGCCCGCGGGAGGGGCCCCCCCTGGTTCCCAAGCTCTCCCCCCCCCGGCACCGGGGGGGAGATTTGGGGAGCTGGGAGTTGGGGAGTGGGGTGGGGCTGTGGGACCCTCGCCGGAGGTGGGGGTCCCGTCATATTTGCCCTCAAAGTGCCGGACGCTGGCATGCACCGGGCCAAACTGAATGAGATGATAATCTCTGGGTGAAATGGGGCTGGGGGGGCCAACGCTTGATTCAGGACACACCAGTCGAGGCGATTTTGGGCCAGTTATGACAGCTCCTCCTGATAGTTGAGTGATGACAGTGATTGAATTACAACCTTGTCAACAGCCCCAGCGCTGCCGTGAGAAGAGGAGCAGCTTGGAGCTGGAAGGATGCGGAGCTGGAGCCGGAATAAAGGTTGTAGAGCTGGGACTGACATAAAACCTGTACGGGGGGCTGGGGGGGAAATACACATAGCAGGACTGGGACTGAAATAAAGACTGTAGGGCTGGCTCTGACATACACAGCGTGGGGCTGGAGCTGACACAACACGGAGCTGGAGCGGAAAGACCGACTGTGCCAACGGAGCCGGAGTAAAGATTGTGGGGCTGGGGCAGGAACACGGAGTGTGGGGCTGGAGCTGGGACACCAGAGAGCTGGAGCCGAAATACCAACTGTGTCGCCGCAGCTGGAATAGAGACCCTGGAGCTGAAACAGAGACCGCGGGGCAGGAGCATAAATAAAAACCTATAGGGCTGTCTCTGACATACACAGCGTGGGGCTGGAGCTGAAATGAAGGCCCTGGAGCTGCGGCTGAAATCGAGAGCGCGGGGCTGGAGCTG